TATTGTTAAAGGACAACCACATTATGATGGCTACACAATAAAGTTACAAAAGACAGGTATCAACAGTACAGAGTATAATTTGTTAAAATCAATTACCTGCACACATGCAACCCATTAACTTATGAAGTTCATTTACCCCAGTTCTCCCTTCAGTCGTGGCCAGATCGCCAGTTCACACACATGAAACTACTGCGACGGAAGAGTTTGATCCCCAGCAGTTACCGATTAGCCTGTGCTTTCCCAGCGTCAGACTGCGCGCCCTCCTCGTCTCAACCTTGCCAACTTGATTGACGACAAGTCTGCATAAGGATGCCCATCCCAGATCCCTTACCTTTCCCACATCCGACTGTTAAAATAAGGAGTACTGAACTTCTCCTGCGCCATTGTTATAGCTGTTGGCTGCAACCCGCACAACCATGACAGTATGCATCCTCAAGCAGAGAGGCAACGTTTCACGTTCCCTGTAAGCCAAACTTGATGACATTATTGTCATTATTATGTGTGATGCAAAACGTGTTTCACCAGAATCTCTGGAAAAAATGTCAAGTCATTAAATTCATGCCCTTTTTAAAATAATGTCCTTCTTTGATATGATTAGGTTATGCGGTAGATGAGGTCCAAAGTTGATCGTCAAGGCAGGGTCGGTAGACGTTACCTGCTGCTTACCTGCCTCACGTCACTCACACATCCCCACCTGCTTCACCTGGATTCTACTGTGGGATCTTCCACTGCCTGATTCCCTCGGGCTTCAGCCCCTTCCCAGAAACTCCAAACTCAGCCTCAATTGTTCATCTCCCTCTCAGTATTTGCTCTTATTAAATTACTTGACGGGATTATCGGTGTCCTGTGTGGTATCTCTGTGTGCTGGCTCATATGTACAGCCATAACAAGGATGTCTGCCATTGGAAAAAAAATACACCTGAAATCGCTTTATACATGAACATATATTATCAAAATATGTTCGACATACAAGGAATTTGACACATCTTTCAAAAAGTCTGAATATAATATTATTGTCCTATTTACCTTTTACGATGGTTTGGGTGCATGGACTCTAAGAGCATTATCAATAAGGTCATGTGGCAAAAATGATATACCAACAATGGAATGGATATGTTTTATGTAAATGACAATAGCTGTGTCTCAATTCGTCAGCTGCTTTCTTCAGAGGATGCTCATCATTCGTCAACCCCATGCATCACTCTGCCCGTGACTCTGCTGTCCCATTCAGTCAACTCTTCTCAATGCGGTTGACGAACGCAGGCCTCCGGGCAGAGATTTGGAGGACACATTTGATATATCCTTTGCGGCCCAGCGAAGATTTTATTTATACAGGATGGAGACAGGTAAGCCAACAGCGGAGGAAGCGGGAGTCCACTTTTAAATTTAAGTACTAGAATTCACTCATATCTACCGATATCAGCAATGAGCAATGAGCTCCTCCAGGTGAGGAGGAGAACGGCCCTGATATGAAAATCCTGGCAGGAAAAACTAGAGCTTAATTCTCCAACTTACCAAAAGAATTTAGTGGATGTATATTCTATTAAACTGGTCAATTGTGTATTATTATTTATATATTTATATGTTTGTATCCTTATGGTTGAATGCACTTATTGTAAGTCTCTTTGGATTAAAGCGTCAGCTAAATGACATGTAATGTAATTTAATCACGCTAAGTAGTTACATTATGATCCTCCGGACCTTTGCTTCTATACATTTCATCTAACTGGACCGCTTTACATTTTAGTTGAATACCCCTGCCCAGCGTAGGGTCTGACCATGGGTTCAAGGATGCCATCCCAATACCTAAAGGCAGCCAGACTGCCGTTCTCCACGTCCCTCCATGGATATTCTTCAGACCGTCACTGACCAACCACCAAACTGCTCATACTGAACGATGTTGCAGGCAGGATAGCATTCTCCTTCCCCAGACCCTTTCACGTCTATCACAGATGCTCAGGGTGGACCTGCTCTCATCTGTGAAAAGCACAGGGTGCCAGTGACAGACGTTCACACACCAGAGCGTGTGTGTGTGTTTGTGTGTGTGTATATAGACACTTGAATGAACAGAATATTGTGGTCTCTAATGCTGGCTTTGAAAGTTAAGTGTGGAAAAATTTAAGATTCCATACACACTCTACCCAGGTAAAGGAACAAACAAGTTATGTAAGCACCTTTGTAATTGGGTAGCATTCAATATCTTGCAGCAGCATTGGTACTGTGACAAAATACTAATAAGCCTTTGGAGGTGGGAGAAGAAGACTGAGCAATATTGGAAGAAAACAAATACCTTGTTTGTCTTTTCCTTTTAGTTTTTTCAGGCATATTCAATCTGGGATATCAGACCTGTTAAAGGTAAATAGCTGGGGCCTCTTATTTGTAGTGTGTAAAACCGTAGGCCATGCAAGTTCTCATTTCCCATTTGACACAAGGTGCAATCAGCTTTAGGGGCCCCGGGGGCCATCGGTACACCGGCTTATAATCACAAGGTTGTTGGTTTGGATTTTGTTGACTGGTTGGGAATACATGAGTGTGAAAGTGAACCACACTATGTTAACTTTTGGGGCATGTGTGAAATATATATCCGCAGATGTTCAACATTATATGTTTAGTGCCACTCCTGAATACTATAAAGAACCGAATAAAAACAATGTTGGCTAAGAAAAAGTGAATAAGTAGAGAACAGTTGATAACAAACCCAAATCCCACCAATATGTTATAATACGTTCACACCAAAAGTGAAGAAAATTATTCGCGCAACTAAATTCCATGCAAAGTCAATGCACAGACACGAATGGTTGCGGAGGAAGCAAACTTTCAACGGGCGGTGAGAGAAGCGAATAAATCACATTTCTGTTGAAAATAGTTGAAATATTTCAAAAACGCTGTCTTGCGAAAGCCAATCAGCGTTGATGCTCCGCTCGTCATCATCGCCGTCCTGCTGCCAAAGCGCGACACACAGACAGGCGCTCTGCAGCTGAGATTGAACGCCTGTAAGTTAGTTGGTGTCTGATGTTTGTGTCATTTCCGCAACAAGAAATAGTTTTTATTTCCATGTTGGATGGCGAAAATGATAAATGTCTTTACGAAGACAAGCTACAGAAATAAAGCACGCCCCCTTTCCAGCGCTTATGAATCTGCAAAACCAGCTGGTGGCTCCTGAAAGGGGGCATTGCTTATCTCTGTGACTTGTCTCCATAAAGAAAATTTCTGCTATCCACTATGGAAATAAATACATTTCTGCACACAAACAGTGTCGTGTTTGGGTTCATGACATCATCTGTTGCCGCACACAGCACGTGGATTTCACCGTATCCGGTCATTTACTCTGTTATGCCTCTTCACCCGCTCGTCATGCGTCCTAGAGCAGCTCTAGACTTGGTGGCCCAGACTTTCCCGCGCATTGCATCCAGTGTCACACTTTAGCGCTTTTCACGTTCTCCCTCGCGCGCCCTGGTATGCCTGTAAGTTGCCCCTGATTTTGATGGCTTTACTACAGTCCCCATCTGAGAGGAGTCTCTGGTTGGGCACCCGAGCCTCCAAGGCCACCCTGGTCTGGAAGGTCAATGTAGGCGATGTAGAGGCCCCTGACCCGCCGCTTGGACTTTTTTCGGATTCCGGTCTGAAGGAGTGCCAGATTGACTGCTGACCCATCAATTTTGTGAAAGCCCTTCTGTGAAGGGTGGATGGGGAGGTGCTGTACTAGTTGTTTGGCCAGGAGGTGTTGATGTAGTCGGCAGTACGTATTGTTTATTGAGATGCGGCGGTATTCGCCTGGACTGGCTGGGTCGTTGTTATCACGTTAGTTGTTAGGTAGAGCAAAGCATTCAGGAACGTTGCTAGGTCCCGTGGATCGCTGCGCCTTAAATCCAAGTTGAGAATCCTGTTTCGTCCTGGAGCTGATGAAGGTAGCTCCAGCAGGAGGGTTGATGACAGCTGACACCGGCTCCATCACCTCCTGCGGGACTGGGTGCTGGTCCTCGATCTTCGGACATTCAAAAAATGTCTCTCCAAAAGGCAACCATCTCCTCCACAATATTGGTTTCAAACATAGGCATACTATGCTGCAAACTGAACATATTTGATTTGCTCTAGTGAGTATTTCAGGTAGCAAGACAGTATATATGGGATTAAGTCATTGTAAACGTTGAAGAAAGAACACAATATGACTCATTGATGTGTTAATAGGTTTAGGATGTAAACTTCTGTGAGTTTTCACTGGGTTTCATTGACAACAACAAATATATATAGAAAATTAACAAACTTCAGTATTATATAAACCGTTTTGTGCAATAAAATCCCAGGTCAAATTATCTATCAAACTTTTGTTTTTTAAAGAGTGCTTTGTTACAGATAACCAATAGACATTGACTTTTTTTTCTGGTCCGTTACAGCAGGGGTCATCAACGTTTTTCAGGCCAAGGCCCCCCAATCTGATGGCGAGATGGAGCAGGGACCCCCGATTCTACGGAGTTTGGTGCGACATCTTTTATTTTTCAGCTTTGCGCTCTTTAGACGTGAGCATGAATCTGATTGCAGGATCTGATTGGCTGGTGCCTGTGATGTCGTATCAGCATGAAAGGAGCTGTGAGTGAACCGGTGTCCAGCTTGAGAGAGCTGCTGTGGGACTGAAAGATAACGTCTTCATCCATTTATCCGTTCGCTTCAATATGTTGGATTCATGTGCAGTTAAAGACACTAAATTTGTGGAAAATAAATAAATAAATAAATCAACCAAAAATTTTGTGACCCCCCCCTGCAGGACCTCCGCGAACCCCCAGTTGAAGACCTCTGCTTTACTGCTTTATTTTTTTAGGAGTTTGGAGGAGTCATAGACAACATGGCCTGAATGAAGGCTTTTTATCACCAGCTGCTCCTGGGAAGACTCTCAATACAGGACACCACAGTCGTTCTACTTGACCACAGTGTGATTTCTGTACGATGAATTCAGGATTAAAAATGTGTGAATATACAGCTGATCCGCATGTCAGTGTTCTTACTTCAATCTGCAGTAGAGCCTCCTCTCTGTGGTGAAGCACCTCCACATCCTCCTCGCTGATCTCAGACAGGAAAGCCTGAGCCACATTCTCTGAGCCTACTACTTCTCCGAACAGCGGACCCTCCTCCATCTGCTCAGCAAACGGGGTCTGAGGACTCTGGGACACACACAAAAATAATATTAAAATTAGATCATGTACTATGGAAAGTTTGCATTGTTGCTGGTTTGAAGAGCATGTAAGAACATTGTGGTTCATCAAGTGTGTGGATTATACTTACTATAAAAGGTTTTGTGCAACGGCCTTAGAGGGGGTCATTGTCTCATATACCTGAGACCGATAGCAATAGAACAGGACCATACTGGTTGCATTTTGTCAAAATGAATAAAATGTTTGTAATATAGGTATGTAAACTAAGTTCCAAAAGACTAGAGTCAGTTTTCTTTTTACTTTCAAAATAAATTGGACCACCTATATGCTCAGAATATAAGCATGTTGAACAATTATTTCTGATCAGTCAAACTCGAATCAGTGTTGGAAGTACATTTACTACATTATTACTGTAATATTGTACTATGCTAACAGGAGCTTGTTGGCTTGAGTATTCACATTTTTTCATGCTATTTGAGAAGTATTGTGTAGTCCAGTGTTTTTCAACCAGTGTGCCGCGAGAGGCTGTCAGGTGTGCCGTGAAAACAAATCATGTTTTACATACTGTCACTTCATTGGTGGAAGAAAAAGAGCCAACTCGTGTGTTTGTGTGTGTGTGTCGCGCTGTCGGTGGTATGAAGGCTCAATACTCCCCTCTGCCTGTGGGTGGCGCTACGCAGCGTAATTAATAGGCAGATTCGCTGAGGCGACAATTTGAAAAAGTGCGATTTAAGGTCTGCGCGTGTTTCTGCGTCGTTGCGTCGACGCACTCGTTTCACTTCATGGTTCTGCGCGTGTTGCAGAGCGATTCACCTCCAGAACAACAGGCGGACTGACGTGTTTTGTTGAAGACGACCTAGAGAGTCACGTCTATTTATTTATTTGTTTGTTTATTTATCATAGACTTTATTGCCCCGTGCATCCACACTGCTGCTTTTCATCGCGGACACATTTGTCCCGTATTTTCCTCCACAACTTTGTTCCTCTCGACCAGCAAACCGGCGTTTGCGGCGATCTCCCTCCGTGAATCCAACCCGCTTCTAAACCCGCCAATGGCGGCTTGTATAAGCGTCATATTTACGCATTTCTTCCGACAGAAGTTCTTAAATCTGCTCCGTTCTCTCGTAAACATCCTTCGTGTTAATAATGGCGCTATCGGGCTGTGAAAGCTGAAATGTGAGACTCCGTAAAGGACGTAGTTAGCGGACCAATCGCAGCCTGCTGCGCTGCGGGAGAAAAATGGCTCGACACGCAAGGACGCAAGGAGGTGTGAAAAGCGACGCAAGGGACACGCGAGGGGGTCTTGCGTCTGCGTCGCTGTGAAAACGCAGAAGCATAAGTCAGGCTTAAGAGATACTGGGCATAAAGCCTGCGCCATCTTGGCATTAGGATCATGTTAAGTTTAATAAAACACAACAAACAGAACACGCGTTTCCCTGATTTCTTAGAGTTTATTATGCTCATGCTGAAACTATGTTTGGGATTGATTTTCATATCATTCCGGTTGTTGGTGTGCCGTGAGATGTTTTCTGTGTCTTAAGCGTGCCTCGACGCAAAAAAGGTTGAAAAACACTGGTGTAGTGGACAGCTTTGGTCACTTGGTAGCTTAAGACTTTAAAGGCCAATTATTGATGATGTATTCTCATAGATGAGACTAGGACTAAGCTGAAGCATTTTAAAATAAGAGAGACAGGTGTGTGGTCCTGCGATTAAGAAAAATAAATTCATATTTCCTGCCTCTGGTTACATTCTCAAGCAAAACTAAACCAGCAAACATTTATTTAAAGCAGTTTTATTTCTATTTCAAACGGGCAAACACCTCCTAGCAACCCTCAGTCTCCAGGTCCTTCAACCGCTGTGGGAAAGTAGACAGCAATGTGATGAATTCATCTTTTAGTTGAAAATGAGTCCCATGCTAAAATAACACAGTGATGCAATAGCGGCGACTGTTCCACAAATTCAGAGGTTACTGTTTCTTTCCAATGAGGGCATAAGTACAATAAGTGACAGACGTTCCACATTCTCCATTGTATTTCAATGCCCTCGGAACATTTAACATTTAATATCCATTTAGTTTAGCCAATTTCAATAGATTTTTCTTAGTGCAAAAGAATATAGGTTATATATAGTATGGATAGTAAGCCATGAAAATGTGTGCACTTGTTACATTTCCAAACTAAAGGCCAGGTTGATTTTTGTATTAGTAATATGTTCCACCTTTGTACGGCTGACTGCAGACCTTAATTCATGGTAGAGGGGGTTGGTGTGGGTCATCGCACAAGACCAACGCGGGCTGAGTCACGTCGCCCTGACTACAGGCCAGGCTCTGACTCACCACTCAACAAACTCTGCAACGTCGTGCTCACTCCTCCACATGCATACGGCACAGCAGAGGCTCTAGGAATGTGTTAGTGCACCACACAGATGGACTCTCGAGACAATCCCTCGGACACCTTATTGCACAAGATCACATGAAGAGTGCACAATAACTTTAGTTTCCTGCAGTTGACTCGCCCCCGATGACGTGGATTGAAAGATGTGGGTGGAAAGCTTGTTCAAAGTATGTGTGCATTTGCATTTGCTGTTGATGCTTCCCACCATTTGCTGTCCCTGAACAGAAAATTAATTTACTTTATTTCCACAGCAGAAGAAAGACAGACACTACTCCTACTGCCACTACTCACAATGGGGTTATCAGTAGTTAGTATTCAAGGAGTAGGGAATTGGCTCCTGTGCATTATGGTTAGTCAGATTTATTAAGCACACCATACAGCTGGCCACCCCGCAACCCTTTCATGCTTTCAGAGGGACATAAAATCGTACTACAGATGTCACCAGGAGGACATTGGGTGGTTGCAAATGATTGTTTTGATTTTAGCAAAGCGTCTGTAGTATCCAGCCAATCCTAGAAAGGCTCTTGCCTTATCATGGAAGGGACAGGCCAGTTCGATACAGACGAGATTTTATCGGGGTCAGGTCTTACCCCAGCACGGTCAACCACATGGCCCAAAAAAACAAGTTTACATGTGTCCAATCGCAGTTTCAAGCCGTGCCGCAATAGTCTTTGGATCACCTCATCCAAATGCTGTAGGGGAGAGGAAAAGGGGGAGAGGTGCGGCGTCACCCGTATGGATACGGTGTTGTACCAGGTCTGCCAGACCATCTACAAAAGCCACTTCAATCAACAATTGTCTTCTAGAGATGTGCATAGGCCATGTGACCATAGCCTATCAGCTTCATCCACGTGGTACAGCTTACCAAATTTTTGGTACTGCCCTATTCACAAGGTGTGGGGATATGGGTTACAGACACAAACAGGGATTCTCCCATTTCTTACCACTGCTAGCGTCCTAGCTACTCCAACATTGTTGGTTTCAGGTAGTGCTTCCATCAGGGCACAGTAGTTTGTACTTCCTAAGCCCATCCAAGCACGGCCACAGTGGCCACACCACTAACTAACTCTTTTGAGGGGAGGGGGGGGGCTTGGATATTTTGCAGAGTAGCTGGCCGCACGTATCCCAGGAATCTCCAGGCCGGCTGCCATTAACTGAAAAACGGGAGCAAGGAGTGGTTTGATTTCCTTCATAGGTTCTTGTGAGAGTCCTTGCATCTGGGATTTCATATCCTCCATGATATTTCGCTTGAGCGTCTTAAGCAGGGGAGGCATGCACGTTTTTCGCAGAAAAGCATGTTTCCTGTGTATCCATGGTCTGAGTCCAGCAGTAGTGCCTCTTGTCGTAGTGCAGCAAAGTCTTCGTCTGGGTTACGGCGTGCATACACCTTCAACGCCTGAGTCATTAGGCCTTTGTTTAGCCCGAGCAGCCACTCGTGCCGTAGCATAGTGTTGGAGAGGGCATTGCCAACCTGCAATACAGCTCTCTCAACCGTAACATAAACGAGGGAACAGCCTCTCCTGATTTCGGTTTACAACTGAAAACGGTCCTTGGGGTTTCTATCGCCATAGAGGAGTCTAGTTAGAGAAAAATCTACCCTGATCTCACTCACTGTCTTCAAGGACGCTGACCTGGCATTTACCCTCACCTGCTAATGCTCCCAACACAATAAATAAATAGCCAAATAGTCACCTAGCACGTTATATTTTAGCAGTTAAATAGCAATTAAAACCAGCAACACCACCTAGTTGAGGTGTCTAGGTCTCCATAAAAAAAATTATACCAGGAAAACAGCATGGATCACACGACATAAAGGTAAGGTTAAAATATGCTTTTATTAACTAAAAAAACCCATAAAAAACTATAAAATAACTACAATTATATTAAAAGTCCAGCTGGAAAAAAGGACTCAAAAGTTAAAAATGGTTCAACTCCAGGTAAAAAGCCAGCCACCAGCGCTCCGTCCTGCTCCTTTCCATTCCGTTTCCTTTCTGTGTGTGGTGTCCAGTTCCTCCGTCCCGTCCTGTCCTGTTCCTCTCTTTGCCCTGCCCTGCTTGTCCACGTTTTTCCTCTCTGCTCGTGTCGTGCTTCATGCTCTTTAATACCAGCTGTGATGATTGGGGATGGAAGGTCCTGTCATTCTGCAACGCTGTTGGCCAGGGCTCCCTGTGATCAATGAGTCCCTCCAGGTGCACGTGATTGACTGCAATGCGGGTTAACATGACAAACTAAACAAACCGTGCTAAAATCATCAAAACAAACAGCAACCACGCAATGTCCTTCTGATGACACATATCTGCTCTGTAAAAAAAAAAAAGTGGTGACGCTGTAAATAGTTTCTCCATTCAGCTCAGCTGCAAAGTGGTGTTCAAGATGGGTCCTTCAATCAAAAAGAGTTCACACCTCCACCCCGCTGCTGTACTCTCGGATGAGACACAGAGGTGCTGAACTGAGCTCAGATCTTTATCCTGAGCTATACAGGTGGTAATACTTCACGTGGAACTATATCCAAAAGAAAAGGCTGACATATTCGTTAAATTCACTTGTTAGATTTGTAAAGTTCATATCAACCTCATGTCGGTATGCTAAATATGGAGCCAGAAATAGAATTTGGCTAACTTAGCTTAGCATGGAGATCTTAAACAGGAATTAGAAATCAGGAAACATTTATTACCAAAATATGTCAAACATACAAGGAATTGGCGGTTGGTGCGTGACAGGAAACAGTGTAAGAATAGACAACAACAAGACAGCAGTGCACAAGTAATAAAATAAAATGCTAATGCAATGGGTTAGAATAAGGCTATGGGTTAGTATAAAATAAGAGGGTAGAGTTAAGTTAAAAATTAAAAATATTTAAAAAGTTAAAAAATATTTTAAAATAAAGTGCACTGGCGAACAAGTGACAAAGTGATGAGTGAAAAGTGACAGTAAAGTGACATGTGCAGTATGGAAGAGAGTGACCGAGTCAGACAGTGGGGGACCCGGCTCTGTTGATGAGCCCGACTGCCGACGGGAAGAAACTGTTCGTGTGGCGGGAGGTCTTAGTCCTGATGGACCTCAGCCTCCTGCCAGATGGAAGGGGCACAAACAGTTTTTGTCCGGGGTGGGAGGGGTCGGCCACGATCTTTTTAGCTCGCTTCAGGGTCCTGGAAGCAAACAAGTCCTGCAGGGACGGCAGATTGCAGCCAATCACCCTCTCTGCAGAGCGGATGACACGCTGCAGCCTGCCCATGTCCTTGGCTGTGGCTGCTGCGTACCAGACGGTGATGGAGGAGCAGATGATGGACTCGATGATGGCCGTGTAGAAGTGGACCATCATCGTCTTTGGCAGGTTGAATTTCTTCAGCTGCCTCAGGAAGAACAACCTCTGCTGAGGGGGAACAAGCTGGACTGGGTGTGTCTAATGCTGCATACCGACACCTCTCATAGGAAGCACTAACTTGACTTCTTCAGTCCCAATGCAGAGTACTGAACCGACCCCAGTAGTTAGTTTATGGCACTAAATACCTTTACCATTCTAAAGGGCATTGTGGTAATTATTTTATGCGTAAAACAATATCACGTCTGACTTTGTATAACAAAGCCTTCCTAAAAAAGAAAATAAATACATGATGAAAAAGAACAGAATTTTAATGAAAGAAAATTGAGGCCACCACCCCAAATGGTTCGTAGCTTAGTTGTTTTGTATTATTTGCGTTATAATAAACTCATAAACATATACATTAAGTAAACATAATATTTCCCAACATTAATTAGCAAGATTGAATTATTTTTGTCTGATTATGTTAACATGATCAGGGTGCTAAACTTGTCAGTTTAGTGGGCTTCATAGTGTCTGCTGCCAGTATTTTAAGACACTCATACACAAATCTCTCTTCTCGGCCCACCATAGTGCTTGTAAAGCCCTGGGACAGATATGCCATTTTTTTGTTGTGCCGTGGTTGTGGTGGTTGGTTGCCTGTTTACACATTACACCAGATACACATCTGTCCCATTAGATAACCTACTGTATATGGTATAAAACCTAGAATTGAATAGGAGAGAAAAGACTGATAGTCATTCATATTTGAGTCGGAATAGACCCAATAGACGAGGCATCGATCCATCCCTAATAAACACGTTGCAACTTGTGTTGCTTGATCAGTAAAAACAAATGGCTTTGTCCTGTTTGTGTTTCAGACAAGACCAGACACATGTTTTTTCCAATTTATTTTGCTGTTGAGCTCTGGAAAATGTTTTCTTCATTTATTTTAACCTATTGTGTTGAACTTTAATAACCGCGGTTACTCCTCATCTATAATAAGTTTCTATTAAGACAGATGCAAACAAGTGGATGAATCTTCATCTGACAAAACATGTCAATTTATCTTGTGCTGCGCAGTGGCCGAAGGGATCAAGGTCAAGACAAAATATTATAATAATATAACATAAAGCCACTGAACTGGAATATGACTGGGATTATTGATTAACAGATTGCATCGAAAGTGTTGGGCCCTCATCCATACGTCAGTGAGGCCCCTTACTATGAACAAAGACCGCTAAGGAGCTCAAATCATCACAAATCAGCTAGAAATTACTGAAATACCTGCAAAAACAAACGTTTGCAGCGCCGACTAAGCCCAAGGAAACGTAAGAGACTGCTTTTCTGGGAAGATTAAAGTCGTGTGTTAATATAAACTGTTTGTAGTCATAATGTGGTCTGGATCAGCAAGTCCACTATCATTGTGCATCAATGTAGGTTTGATTTGTGTTCTTGCTAAGGTCGTGGCTGTCTCTGTGCATTGGTAATTATAGCCAGTGCTTGATCTTAAAACCTTCAAAATTTTCACTCTTGAGAAGTAAATATCAATTATGAGACTAGATTCATAGCTCAGGGTGGTACCCTGTTATTTATATATTTTGTGAATTATCTTTGCGATTATTAATAATTCTCTTAGTGTCGATAACTTTGTTTCACACTTCTATTGACCAAATATACGTCCCTGCCATTCCCAACAAAAGTATTCTTCCAATAAATGAAGTGATTGAATGGAAGTGGGCTCATTGACCGTTATTCTTAGAAACCACTTTTCCTGTAATGAACAATGGAAACATTTTATTCTGGTGATTAGTTTAGAATAACATTGTATACACTCATCTAGTTTGTTGATTTCTTCTGCTGCAGTTTTTTTTTCTTTTGGGTAATTTATTTGTACTCAAACATTGACAGACACAGCGTGTATCTATACGCTTTCAGGGAGCTACACAGTGAAAACAAATACTTGCCAGTAACATTTGGATTCATTTATATTCTGATGGTGAAATAGGATGTGATGAATGGAGACGCTGTAGCACAACAGAGTGGAAGTGACCAGACAGAGCTTCAAAGGAGCCCTTTTGAGAATGCAATTGGGCAGAGAAATATCATCTCATCATGCTTCTCTTTTATGAATGACAGTGAAACAAAGGGCACGTTCTCATCAGCTCACCTTCTTCGTGTCGGTCTTTGCCGGAGAGAGTAAGGCCCTTGAACGCTCAGCAATTTTCTGAGAGAGGATCAAATGAAGAGAGAGTTAAGAAATGTTTTTCCTAAATAAAGAGATCAGACGTTTTTTCTTCTGCCTGTAAGAGGAACAAGAATCACTTAAGATATATATAAAACTCAGTCAGATGTGGTGGTCTGTTTACCATGTGATAATAAGAAGATATTGACTGAAAGTAAATACATGTGTACCTTCTGCAGATCCCCATAGCGCTGCACAGACTCTGAGAGTTCGGTCTTTAGTCTAGTCAGGTGCAGACGATCTTGCTGTGTAACAAAACCAGATTAGTACTAATTCGTTCTAATGCTGTTTAATCCACTGTTTATTTTTCAGAAATGACCATGAACGAGGGAGGAAGGGGAGCATGAGGTACCCGTGAAGAGCCACTGATTATATCAGAGAGCTGTTTGATGAGTTGGCTTGTGCTGGTGATGACTTTGTTGGTTTGCTGCTGCATGGAGTGTCTGAGGAGAAAAACCAAGAGAGGGGGAAACAGCATTTGTTGAATTAATGATTATTTGTAATTATAATAAATATGAAATAGTATAAAATGAACAGTAAACATGTACAGGCAATTATGAGGGGTGGACAAAATAAAGAAAAGTAAAACGATTATGTTCTTAAGAATTAGAATCAGAAATCTAAAATGTTCTTAATCGTCATCACAAATACACATAAACAAGACACGGGCCATTTCCTCATGCATTACCCCTCAAAAGTATATTTTTTATATCACTTTGTGAGCAAAGGTGCAGAAATTTGAAACAAGTTATTGTTTCCTTTTGCTTTGTCATTTTCCCCACGCTGTTTTATTTGTATGGAGCAGTAAATCCACTTGCCTACAATACCTGCACTGTAAAACACCATTTATCAGCAAACTTCCCAATCAAACAGAACATAACTTTGGATGCTCATTTTTAGCAACTTTTATTCATAATGGGTGTACACCACTTAGTGGAATCGACAAGCGTCCTTCTGCAAGTCTTCGTGAACCTTGGGAAAGCACTGGAAATGCTGCTCTACCAGAAAAGCCAAATAACATACACAAAGGATCATCCCATACACTTCAACTTCAAATTTGTACATTTTTTTAAAGTTATGTCAACAAATACCTTTAACAAAATAGTTGACCTAACTCAAAATGTCAACTTTACTAATAAGTAGTGCAATCCACTGAAACCTTTCAAGTGGAGAAAACTTACTTAAGTTACCGCAGAGGTTACCCAATTAGCTACTGTGAACCCTGCGGCTTATACAACTTGTTACATACTTGTTATTAAATGCTGTTCTTTGAATTTTCCAGCCAAAGCGGTGTACAGTGTGGCAAAGGATTTTGAGTATACTTGGCAGTGGATTTTGAGAAGTTGAGAAAACTTAAAATAGTTAAGCAACCAGCTGCAAAGCTATTTTGAGTATTCTCAACCATTTTTTTTAGAGTGTAGCGTGAGTCAGTGAGCCAGCCTGCTCTCAGGTATATGGGGTTGAGATCACATTTACCAGATGGTGTCACGGTGTGGTTCACTTCATGTTATATTTTGTAGTTTTCTGCCACTCGTGTCCCCGGGTAACTTCACTTCCTGCCTTGTCATGTCATCCCCTGTGATTGTCTAATAGTTTCCACCTGTGTCCAATCACCTGCACCTCCCTAGTGTATTTAAGCCGTGTGTCTGTTGTCACTTGTCGCGTCATTGTCTTTCGCCACGCATGTCCTTGTCTCCCGTTTTCCCCCTGGTTCCTGTGTGTTTTTGCCCCTTGGCCTTTTGCTTTACCCTTTTTGACAATTAAATGCCTTTTGATTTTTAACTCTGCGTCTGAGTCCTACCGCCCGCAATCCCTGACAGCATTAATAGCTGTCTGATGGAGTTGAACGGTGTAACACAGCCAACTCCTTTCCGTAGCTCTGTGTTTTTACTGATAAGCTTCTCTGGGGTGAGAGGTTATAGGTCAGCCATATTCACAACTGTCCACTGGAAGTCCGGGTTAATACCGTTATTAAAAGTCTATCCTGGCAGGCCAGCCTGCTACAACCCTCCTTTTCACTCTGCAGCCTTGCTCGCCACCAGAGGCCAACTCCAATCCTCCAGACTTGACACCATAACGGGCTGCCCCACAGAGATAGGCAGCTACACAAACACCGCTCTGCTGCTCTGTCGCCTACTCAAATATTGATCTACCTGCAGCTGGTGGCAGGAAGAGCAGGCGGACCACAATGCTCTGGGGCTAGAAACTATCATTCAGTGTATGTTGTCAAAAAAGCCAAAGTGTGATTAAGGGCAAAAAAACTGATGAATCTCCATCATGTCTTTGCAGAGCAGGGCTACAGAGTTGACGAGTCAATGAAGTAAACAGGCTAGAGGCTATATGTTGCTGCTAAAAATAAAAATGTACTGTGAGGAAATAATTAAATTGGACTGCAGCCAGTGTCTCTCCGTGGCCAAAGTCATAACAGACACACAGGGTGTCTTCTATGAGGGCAAGTCACTAATCTCATCAGGGTTTAAGACTTGCCACCAGAATGCCATTATATATTGGAAAATAAATTGGTATATCCCAAAGAATGGAGTATTGTCAGAATAAATCGATGAAATGAAAACGTTCCATTATACTTACATTTTTCGTGCTAAGCACTCTACATGCTGTTCTATTGATTTGCCTGCATGATGAGCCATTTGGTACATATGCTTTATGATTAGGAATTATTTATACAGACACATCAATCTCAGCCTAAAAAAGGGTTACACACCACCACACACACACGCAACAGAAAGATTTACAAGCTTGGCAGCTAAAATGTGACAGACAATTTTCTGTAGCATTAAACTTCCAATGAAATGGTAATTAGAGAACTTTAGTTTCTCTTTAACTATTCCACAAATAGACAATATGAGCGGTGCAGAGTAACAAATTTGATTGGACAGCTAAAAGCCGGTAGTAGCGCAGGATTGGGCAATAGAGCACTGAGGCTCCCCACATGGAAAGAACCTATATGTGGATATATGCACATATAGGAAACCTATATGCAGTATATATGTACATATATATATGTATATGTGTACATATATACTGCATATATGCGCATATATGCCACATATAGGCGACCTATATGTGGCATATATGCGAATCTATGAAACCTATATGCAGTTTATATGCTGCATATATGCACATATGTGCTGCATATATGCCGCATAAAGACTAAATTGTGGTGCCTATGTGCATATACAGACCATATAGGTCTCCTGTATTGCTTATATCCACATATAAGCACTAAGAACTAAGTAAAATAAAAATTCTGAAAGAACTTGTGTAAATGAAAACACGTGAAATTAGTATCACGTGTATATGTGATGTTATGGAATTTAACTATGGCAATTAAGTGAGAGGAGATGGAAAGCTCTGATGGCTACACATTTTCAAATCTTTCTTGTATGAAGATAGTGGTAAAGAAGAAAATGTATAACAAAATGGCTCGTGTTTTTATTTTATTTTGTCAATCAAGCCTTTTTTTTGTCAGTTATTCACATTACAGCTCATACACATCCACACATTCACATTAATGCAGTTTCTAAATGAATATGGCTGAAAGGTTATTAGTCTAAATGTAGCAAAAAAATAAGTAATCATCATCATCATCCCATATCTATCTGAGCATTTCACTGTGGTTAATTAATTTGAACACAATGTCAAAATTTCCGTACATAACGAACAGACACTTTTCTTTCCAAAAAGAAGAGCATGCGAAAAGAGAGGAGATGAGAAAAGAGAAAGAAAGAGAGAGGGAGGCATAGAGAGAGCGGGAGACAGGAGGGAGGGATACAGTTAGAGGGAGGTAGGGACACACAGACAGATAAGGAGACAGAAGCATTCCCGCTAATTATGCCACATATGTTTACATGATACCTGTAGCTGGTAGCTTTGTAGCTAGCTTCTAGCATGTTACTTTCGTTTACGTCTTCGCTTAGTTCTTTCTGGAACGGGTGCTTCGTCGTTGACGAGGTACCTTTTGTAACGTACTGGATCCATTATTTTTCTTTATCTGTTGCTTATTTACCGCAGACCGTAAACCATAATGGCAAGCATGTATCCACTCTGCTCCGATCGGCCGCTACAGCGTCGCGTGCGAATGACGTCATCAATCGCGCTGGGCCGCTTGTTGATGACGTCATTCCCATGCAGGCGCGATCGCGCCGAAAGATAACGGCTGGGACTAAGTATAAAGTATTAAAAATGGAGACATCAGCGTTCCGCTATGTCCTACTTGAATGGACTGAGGGTGATGATAGTGGGGCGCACAGTATTTTGACGATGGACTGTGTCCGGGACTTTTCAGTTCAAGATTTTTTTGCCTCGACTGAACAAAACGAGAAGCTGGTGGAATGACGAAAAGGCCGCCAACCCTGGCCGGTTCACCGAGCCAAAATTGTTGACGTGGCAAGTAAGTTATGTTACATTTCTATTATGTATACCACATTAAATTTTGCTCTCACTAAAAGAAGTGTAAAATGGATCTTGTTACCTGACTAGCTTAGTATGCTGGCTGTTAGCTACCTAATTTGCTAATGCTACCTAAGTCTCTTAATTGGGACTAATGCTATGTTTGGTAACGTTAAACATGATTAGACAAACGTTTGCAGTAAACATTTCAATTTTATTGCACCAGAATTTGAAAAACCTCCAAATTAAACTGCGTGAGATCGAGGTGGAGATCGAGGGCACACAAACAAAACGTCCTCACATCCCAAACTCAAAGTACATTGAGCAGCAGGGGAAGACTGAGAAGGCTTTAAAAAAAAGGTAACTGTCTGCACCAATTGGTGCTTTAGTTCAAGTTATCTCCCCTCTCGATTCTTAATGTGTAGGCATGTTTGTAGGTTTGTAATTGTGTCATCTATGATGATTTAATGTGCTTTGACAAGATATATGTGCAAGCTGGTGTAACGCAAGTTAATAAGAGTTGAGCTAAAAGTCAGTCTGTGTCTTTCTGTCGGTTGACAATAAAGAGGGAGGGTCTTCCAAATACAAGCACCAGGAGGGTGAGAAGCAGGAGGAGGGTCAAAGAACAAGGTACACTACCAGTCGTCCTGTGTGTGCTGTTACATTACAATACATTCATGGTTCCTCTGTTTCTCCCTCTCCCTCCAAAGGTTGCCGTGAAAAAGAAAAATCTTTCTAAATACGAGGAGGAGGAGGAGGGAGAAGTGGATGATGAGGCGCGTCATGACACAAAGAACAAGGTACACTACCAGTCTGCATCCAGTGTGTGTTATTACATTGCAATACAGTAAAGATAAGTAAGACTTTTATAATAAAGTGCATTACCAGTAGCTGTTACAAGGTATGACACCAGCACAGTAGGCAACTTTGTCCTCTCTCTTTCTCTCTCCCTCCCAGCGGGCCAGAGAAGAGGAGGAGCATATTGGGGATGAAGACGACAAAGTACCAGCCTCAAAGAAAAAGGTAGCCTAAATGATGACATCCGGTGTGTGGTGTATGTTTGCTAGACAACCAGTTACATATAGCCAAGTGGGGGGATTTCTGCCGTAGACTTCTTGCCACCTTCCTCTTACATTTCTTATGACATCCTCCCAGAAAATCAGAATCAACCATTTACAAAAAAAGTTATACAACAATTAGCTGTTGTTCTTCTCTGTATTTCTCTTTCTCATAGAGCGCTGCTGAATTTAGAAAGCAACTGGACGAACAGATGTGGGAGAGAAAAAACAAATGCAAAGAAATTTGCAGGAGTTGCGAAATGAAGTTCAGTCTCTCAAAAGTGAAAATGCACATCTGAAAGATGTTCTGGAATGGGAAGCAACCTGAATGGTTCAAAAACGTGATGTGTGTGTATATATAAAAAAAACTCTTGCTTACTCCACCTTCATTTTACCCGCCTTTCATAATAATTTTGAAATTTTACTTTTAAGGTGGGAAGCCAACTAGAGGGGACGGGGAGCAGCTGGTTGCCCTGGACAAAATAAAAAAGGCAGCCATTATTGGTGAGTAAATGCATAATGTGTTGAGAAGGGAAAACATTTACAAAAACAAAAACTTTTAAGACTTTACAAGTTCACCACTTTAACCATAGCCTACTTGTATCAATGTTTATTAGGCATCAATGGAGACTGCATAAGGTAGGGCACCCATTATTGTTACTGTATCTGCTTAGCACCTATAATACTAATTGCTTGCTCACGTCTTGATCCCACCTTTCCTTTTCTAAAACCACATTTCTGGGGTATTGCGCTCAATGTGCTGTAAGGTGTGTAGTCTTCTATTTTGTAGAACATATAGTGTTGCAAATAACCTCATGGCATATTGTTGTTGTCTGAAGTGTTCATAAATACCAATATTCACCCCTCCTTCACCCTTAATCCCCTCTGTCCTGCCTTATTTTGTCTATGCCGGTAATTGATTTGCTTGATTTTAATGCATACCTTCTTCGAGCATGTGTGTGTGTGTGTGTGTGTGTGTGTGTGCCATTCGCTCATTATTGTTCCAATATTATTATATTATCTAATTATTTTTGTCTTCTCTAGATGCTACATTGAAGAAGTGGCCGGCAGCCAGCCGAGGGCAGATAGGCACAGCTATAAATTCCAAGCTCGCAGAGATGCGAAGATCCATGAAATTATTTTTTTTCCTTTCCATTTTTTGTCATTTTTGTTTTTGTACATTTTGATAGTCCTTAAATAAATAATGTAAATTTCTACGTTTTGGGCTTTTATTTTTGTTTCCTAGTAGCTATGGATTTTCATAATTGTACTAATATACAGGTGAACATATGTGCACATATGCACACATATATATGTGCATATATGCGCACATATATATGTGCATATATGCGCACATATATATGTGCATATATGTGCACATATATACGTGCATATATGTACCTATATGCGCACATATATACGTGCATATATGTACCTATATAGGTAAATTTATGCATGTATATATGTGAACATATATGTACACATATATGCACCTATATGTACATATATAATATAACATATAGGAAAACGGCCAATTTCATATATGTCACATATATCTAATACATATGTCAAAACATATATTAAAACATATATGTTTATATAGGTTCTTTCCATGTGGGTCTCACCCTTGCAACCATAGTTAGATTGTTGGATGTCCAGCTGCATTATCATTTCATTTTACTTTATTTTATTACTTGTGCACTGCTGTCTTGTCTATTGTCACACTGTCTACTGTCGCGCACCAACCGCCAAGACAAATTCCTTGTATGTTTGGCATATTTTGGTAATAAATGTTTCCTGATTCCTGATCCTGATCCTGATGGATGTTATGATATTATTGGGTAAAATCACTTACCATCTAACTTAAGCAAACTTCATTTGTTGGTTTTAAAAGGAAGAAAAGTGGCTAAATGTGACCAGGAATTCAAAAGTAATCTTTGATTTTATTTCAACTTTAAAATATGGTCAAATGAGAGGACTTCAAAGGTTAAAGGATTCCCACTTATGGACAAGTAGGTTTTCATTTATCATGCAGACAGACTGACCAATTGACCACCATCGCTGCTTTGCCTTTTAAAAATGGAAACTCGGTTAAAAAGTTTCAGCTGTCAGCTAAGGATGAGGTCATAATCTGCACACTGACAAAACTCAATCGATTTATTAGAGAGTGACTAAGCGGCAACTTTACAGATGGTTCGCTGTATTTATTTGACAGGGAGAAGAGGCAAGTGAAAGGGTTGGACTAGCAGTCTAAAAATACAACGTGAACTGCACTTCAGTGTTGACGAACCCTAGTAGATCATCCGTTTGTCAGTGAAAGTCCTGCCAGCCACTGATACGGTGATACTAAACAATCAGAGCTCGCCCACCACTGAGGAGCCCCGAGAAGACCTTTGCACTATAGCTGCACGGTGATACATCTACTCGTCACAGTCTTCCTTCACAACAAGCTTGAAAGTGTGGCGCTAGAAACAGTATGCAAAAGATTGGAATTGCTCACTCTGTGAATTTCAATCAATCACTTCTGCTTTGTGTTTCTCCTGCCTGCTCAGGGTCTGATATTCCTTTGAGGTATGGCTGGTCATGATGGAGCTGAGGAGACTGGTAGCAGCCGGGGGCAGCTGTGAATAAGGATGGGGTCTGTGGGGGTGCTTCAACAGTTTGAGGGCTTTACAGAATGGATCAGCCCTTTAAATGAGTTCTGTTTTATTACATTTCTATCGAAGTTGAGATAAGTGTCTTTTGATGACGAACAAGTTAAAATGACTAACTGGAGTCTGGTGGCCTAAGGAAAGTGTATTAATTATTTATGATGTACACTGATACCATGTCTTCAACTCCTGTTGATTGTATTTATTGAATTAACTTTGTCTCATAGCAACCTGCCAGAATAGAGGCATATATTGGTACTTAGGCGTCATGTTTCGGCTAGAGGCCATAAATACCTGTGTGTACTGCAGTTATTTCTTTTGAAAATGAGCGTGGGTGTAACCTTTGCCACTGGAGACAAAGGCTTAATGTTTTTGGAATTTCTTTGTCCAGCGGCACAGAAAGGCAATTCAGTCTTTATCTCTATGCGTTCAGAGGACGGGTCTGGCATGAGTTGGCGGTTTGCCAGGTCTGGAGGTGTGAGGCTGGACAGGCCTGGACGTTTCCAGGAAGTTGCTAACTTGATGTGTTGTCCAACCTTGTCAGGAGGTAAAGGTGCTTATAGCTGTTCTCAGCTGAGTGGCTACGGAGTAAAGTGGACACATGTCATCAAGAAGAGGGAGATGAGGACAAAAGAAAAGAGTCTGAAAAACTGTCTCCTCGCTTCAATAGAGCTGGCCAATCAAAGTTACAATAGATTCTGGATGGTAAGTTGAAGAATGTTTGAAAGGCGGTTTTTAAGATGGCCACAGCTCCACCAATCACGTGTCTGATGGTGGTGGGTTTCCGAGGAAATTCAACCAACCCGTCAAGCAGATCCAACCGCTTTAAGTTTCATTCAAGGGAGTAGTGTTCAATAACAAAAGTAATACAATGAGTACTTAAATATCTTTGTAAACCATGTAGTTGCTTACATTTTTCAAGTAACTTGGCCAATGCATAAGCACAGATGTGGGTGGGGGTACGAGTTTCAAGCATCAAACCTGATGCTTGTGTAGGCAGCTGTATTGAAAATAATACAAGCCTAGGCTACACAGAAAGCACTCTTATCATCTTAAACGATAGCAACATTGTTGAGTCTGATCCCAACCTAAATGCTGATCGTAAAGTGTCAGAACATGTGACAAATAAAAGGCATTAAATGTCCAAAAATGTATTTTGTTTATGACTACACATGCAAGCGGCGGCTGATCAAAAACTATGGAGAGGGAAAGTTAAGTTCCCAGATCACCAACACCGAAAAAGTATATCCACATGGGCCACACAGCAGTAGTTAAAATCCATCTGACATTTAAATGTGCATCTCAATGGAATATACACCTACTGCCTGTATGAAAATCGGTGCTTTCAGGTGGGTTGGAGAAGGCAGAGTGATGCCGGTCTGCGTGTTGTGTAAGAGTGGAGGAGGACAAGGTGGAGAGGTGCATTCCACGCACTCATGAATCAAGTGTGTTAAAGGTGGCTGCATCACTATGGAGCCAAATCCAGGTCAAAAGTTTTGTTCAGTGTGTGATTTCCACTGGGGACATTCTCCGTTTCTAAAAGACATTTACATCCCAAAACACATTAAAGTATACAGGAACGATAGTGTTGATTGTCATAGTCCTCAGCCAATCAGGTCTTTAGTTTGACATGTTGGTCCGAGGTCGCCTCTAAAGTACGCCTGCATTAACGTACCGCACAGCAGTAACGTGCGCTGTGATTGGTCAGTGGGTCAGCGTGACTTCTGTCCATCAGAAAGCTAGCTAGCAGATCCTAGTATGTCTACGATGTCTTAGTAATGGTTCCCAAAATGGGGGTCATGACCCCCAGTGGGGTGACGGTGGGCCGTCAGCAGGTTCGTGGCTTCATCAACAACCCTAAGAAGAAAAAAAATGAAAGCGAAACCAACATGAGCACTTGAAGCATGGTGTGTTCGACCTACGCCCCCCAAAGAGTGAGATGCGCCGCATCAGAAAGACAGCAAAAAAGACACTGTGCGACAAAGACAAAATGGTTTGTAAAACTTCCTGTTAAATGTGAAAATATAATATATAATATATAATTGCACTGTACCCACCTTGCACCACTTCAATTTCAATATTTAAAGTACATTTACTTCTGTTAAATGTGAAAATATAATATATAATTGCACTGTACCCACCTTGCACCACTTCAATTTCAATATTTAAAGTACATTTACTTCAAAAATGCTTTACAAAATGGAAAGAAAATGGAAATTGCTTGAAACTTTTTAAACTTCCGAATGTCACTACACGCTGTTTCTAAACCAGCCATTCTCCACTGGACCTCCACTTCTTTTCTTTCTCCTCTGAATTTTTGCTCTCATCAACAGTTTTGATGACAACGTTTTATCGCATAATTTCGACTTTCTATCCTTTCTATAGTGCGGAAATGGACTTCTATAGTTGTGTGGATGCATAACTCCAGCCAATCCAAAGACGGGGTTTGTAACCAATTAGATGTAGATACCATGGTGACTGGCTCCGCCCCCTTACTGTCAAAAAGAAAAACAGCGAGCGTGTAGAAAACACCTTCGAGCGCGAGCAGAGATTCGCCGCGCGAGCGAGGAAGTTCACGTTCCGCGAGCGAGCAAATTACGAGATTTGCTCGCGTATGTTTCCTTTACGTGCGCGCATCATCCTGATTTGCGCTCTCGAATTTTGACAGTAATTTGCCACCATAGACGGCCCTCTGGCTTTGAGCAGAGGAGAGAGCTGGAAGCTAAGCTAGCACACATGGCAGGCCACATGTGTCTACGAGCTGTTGCTAGGAGGCTGTGTTTGTACACCACACAGACATTTACCTACAGACAGGTTAAACTATCTGTGTGAAGGGACAGGGCTGTTGGTTAGTAAATGATAAATAAAAAGAAAGAAAGAAAGAAAGACTAAAAGTAAAACCGATATTCCGAACAGTGACACAATGCGGTTAACATCAAAACGAGAACAACAATATATGCTAACATGCTAACTTCTGCCCAGACAGCCTCACTGTGCGTTGATAGGGTTTGCTGTGTTTCCCCGAGTCTTTAACGTGTCCGCTCAGTCCTTTGTTGTGTGGATCGATTGGGGGATATGAGGACTGTTGGGTTTCTTGGTAACGCAACAGTTGTTTGTGCTCTCCAACACGCAAGATGGTAAGATTTCTTTCTGATAGAGATCTGATAGATCTTAATTTGGAAAGAAGGTTTTACAGGGGAAGATCCCCTCTGGTGTCTGTGACTTGACCAATCAGATCTAAGGGAGATCACCAAGAGAGAAATCACACCTAGGTGCGTGGACCAATTCCTTGTGAGATTTGTCTTGCAGCAGCAATGCATTCCAAAAATCAGCCTTGGTTTTTATGCTATGATTGGAGCCCAACGCCAGCGTGTGTGTGTGTCTGTGTGTTACTCACAGATTCTGTCGTAGGTCCTCTCTATCTCTAGATGTTCCCAGGGACTGTAGATTCTTTTCTAGTGCAACAACTGAGAGAACAATAGAAACAAAATGAAATCTTAAAGGAAACCCTCCATTCATTCTGTAACCGTACCATGAAAGTTATTCAATTCATTTGAAATCTTTATTAAAAATACATTTAGTACAAATACAGAGCTAATTTTAGCGTTATTGCTACTTTCAAACATTTAAAACAAAGACTCACTGGATAACTCCTGATTATTCACCATTAAAATAAAACACAACTTATATTACTAACACTTAATCACAGCCATCATTATGGACTAAATGTATCCCAAATGTAAACCTTGTTTTAATACTCACAAAAACCAAAACATACATTTAAATCACTAATGAACCATGAACCCATCCAATCGCCTAAACCTCTTCTACTTTATGTAGTAATAAAACCAAGACAAAATGCTAATCCTAAAACTACCTCAGCTACCTCAAACTTCCCAAAAACCTGTGCTGTGAAAAAGTATTGCTCCCTTCCGGGTTTTTTTTTGCATTTTTCTCACACTTTCAAAAGATAACTCAAGTAAATACAAAATGCATTTTTTTTAAACGATCATTCAATTGAAAAAATTCTGCAAAGAGTGGGCCAAACCTTCTCCACGGCGATGTGAGAGACTCATTACCAGTTATCAAACACTTATGTTGCCGCCAAGGGGTCCAAAACCTGTTACGGGGCAATTACTTTTTTCACATGGGCCATGTAGGTTTGGATAGCTTTTTTCCCTTAAGAAATGAAATCATTGTTTAAAAAGTGCATTTTATATTTACTGGGGTGTATTTTGTTTGATAATCTGAAACATATAAGTGTGATATGCACAGAAATAAAAAACCAGGAAGGGGGCAAATACTTTTTCACATTGATGTATTTATCCATTTGAAGGATGGAAGCCCAAAGCCGAACTATCTTTGGTCAACAGGTCTCAAAGTAATTATGTATAAACTCGAGCGCAAGAACGAATGCAAGCCACACACACAGGTTTAGTGATGAATTCTCTTTTTACCGTTGGCGTTGATCTGGAAGATATTGGAGGAGGTTTCCTGAAACACATCTTGCAGTTCTGAGGGGCTGACCTGTGTGGCTTTGGAGAAAACATGATATCAGCCAACATTTCTCAGGCCAGTGGAGCATAATACCACAGCACACAAGGAGCTGATCACAGAAAGCCAGCATGTGGCCACCACCTACTTTGTACTTTTTCATCATAACTGTAGTTTAAAACCATTCCTACCTATGGTATGAGTGCAACCTGATCTCTCAAATTCTCTTCTGAGCAGAACCAAGTTAGAAAAAGAATGTCCTCTACTCATCACGAACAAACATGAGAATGTTTTCACATGTCCACTTATCCGTTTGAAGATACTCCAAACACAACTTCAACAAGTTATAAAATATGATATGCAAATTAGTGCAGAAAGTGTGCACACAGTGGTGCTTATATACATTTCCTCAGCGAAGAAAACAAAACACTGAAGCGGTAGCCGAGACGACGCTAATCGTGCTTTTGTTATTTTGTGAAGAAGTATCATTTCTCTCTGACAAACCTTGCAAAAACTACAGTGAAAATAACCTTAAATCATGAATCACGAATGCCCCGTTTGACGTTTTGAACAAAATAATGAAATGAATCTTTATTTGTTTAGCGAGATACGTGCTGCGGACGATTGTGTGCACACCACACTCAATTTCAGTCTTTTCTGTGCAGGTTTTATCTTACACAAAAAATATCTCCTGCAGCATTTATCGATACACAGTAAAAAATCTGTTTCCACCGCTACTATTTCAAAAAGCACAGCTGGATGGCAGTAAATGTTAGTCAGCAAGAAAAGGTTCAGAATACAGGCAGACAGGGGGTGTTTGAAACCAGAACCTAAACAGGTCTGACTCAATGGCTTTACCTGTCACAACCAGAATTTGGCAAGAAAAATTGTACATTTACAACTTTCAGGTAAACGTTGCATGGAAAGAATGGCTCAACTTTGGAAAGGAAAGCGCAGATATACCGATACACTGGGTGCTGCATCCCTCCGCAGATCCAACCTAGCTACCCTCTTTTTGTCCAAACTTCTTGTCTGCCATGGAAAACTGACGGTGACTCCGCTAAACAATAACACCACACCCAAGCAAATGTCACCGACACAATGCCTATGATCTTCTCCAGTCTGGGACTATCGCTCACTGCCTCAAACAGACACATTCGGAACAGTTACCATGGGGCTTTGGATCTGTGGTCAACAGACATTAAGGTCAAACCATTCATACATGATACCATCCAATACTTTATTCCCGTCTGAAATATTCCAACTATTAGATGAATTGGCAATAGTTTAGCTTAAAAACTGAGGGGATTGCCCATCCACTTCAAATGTGGCGTAGCCTTGTGCATATGACACCTGTCATATAACAACATTCCCAATTTAAAAAATGGTAAATGCACCGTATAATGCTTTTCTAGTCTTCCGACCACTCAAAGCACTTTAACACCCATCCATACACTGATGACAAGAGCTACCACACACATCAGTAACATTCACACACTTTGGTCACAGCTACAGGAGCCATGCTGGGTTAAGTGTCTTGCCCAAGGACACATCAGTATGCGGGTTAGCAGAGTCTGGGATCGAACAATCAACCCTCCGTGCTCCCCAGTCGCCCTTTTAGTAGCACTTGATTTACTAAACATTAACATTTTAATCATGTCAATCTAAGCATCTTAGCATGTTAGCTCAAGCACAGCCAGAAAGAGCTGTGAGTATTGCTGTATTCTTACTAAATAGTGCTTAGAGAAAACTAAACTATAAGTTCTACTCATATCCATAGTAGGTGGCTATTATTCTGAAATATTTAGCTGGAAAGTGTTACGTAAAATATATAGTAGCACAGCTGCATGAATTTAAATACTGGCTGTTATTTGCGCATTTTGTATCCATGAGCACACCCTTTTTCTATTTTCTGTCCATATAAATATAAGTTGTTGTTAAAGGCAAAAAATGTAGAGAGGCGTTGCAGCACCAGATATACAACCATTTAATGCTGTTAAGAAGACTTAAAATTAGAGATTAGGACCAGGGACTCATGGTAATAATGTTTGCTGAGGTAATTTATCAAATGATAAGTATACTTATTTTTCCATAGACTTCCATAAAATCACACTTATTTTTGCAAATGGAGGAGCTGCCCCCTTACGTTCAGTAGAGAGACTGCAAGTTTTAACTAACCACAGTCTATAGAAAAGTTTAGCTTTAGACTTGATGGTGAAATCATAAATATACTGTCATAGTATTTAATCGCTTAGCTTGTTCAGAACCAACAACCAGAATCAAAGTCTTAGACGTGGACACAGACTCTCCTTTTCAAGTAGTCTCAGTCAGGTCTGACCCGGAGTTCCAGCTTTCACATAGGCCTCGTTTTCTGATGGTAATGGTTCTTATTATTTAGGGGGAATGTTTAGTTCAACAAATGCCACAGCATCATTTTTTGGAAATTGTGGAAAAAGTCTGGGCTTGACATCTATGTGATGGTGACTTCTTGCTTTTACTTTCTTTTGAATTATTTAAAATGTGAATAATTGGTCAAGTTGATAAAGATTTTAAATATATCACACCTCAAAGTTATATTTATTAAGTGATGGGAGAAAGAAATAGATTTAGGCCTAGAGTGATTGTATTAAACTACTGTGTACTGTTATCATGATGAATATATGTGGAGATTTAATGGACATCAAATGCTGCGGGAGCCTCAAATGCAGAACTTAACTGCAGTGAGGATGATGGAGTGGATGGGGAAATTGTCATGTCACTAAACCAAAAGCTGGCATCAGGATGGGAGTTAATCGTGTAAGTTATGTGGGCAATGCGTTTTTTCTTTTTTTATAAGCATATTGTCCCATGTCATTACAAATGACAGGCAGGGTAATGGCCTGGAATCATTACAGCTGGCTGAGATCAACATTATAACCCGCACAAGCTGCACGAACAAGCCATCTCACCCCCCCTTTTGTCAAACACTGCACCCTGAAATTACCGTAATTACTGCATTTTTTCTGACACGGTTCAAAAGTGCAGGGGTATATACAAAATTCAGAGCTGGAAAATGCACCAAAGTGGACAGAGGGATCAAACATTGGCACAAAAAGAGAAACTGTGAAAGCCAAAACAAAGCGGGACCGTGCAGAGAAACCAACAGTCAAAGTGTGGCCTGGAGAAAGATCTGTGAGATCAAAACTGTACATCTCAACTTAACTACTCACCTAGCTATACAACAAATCGTCTTGGAAACGACAGTCGACCAGCATTATAAGACTGTGCGACACTACCACCACCAAGGCAGTTTTTTCCTTGTGATGTTGTCTGAAGCCTTGATGCTGTTAATGTAATGAAAAAGATTTCACATTCATTCATGGGTTGTTGTGTGTAGAATGTTGAGGAAAATAATTATTTAATCCATTTTGGAATAAGGCTGTAACATAACAAAATGTGGAAAAAGTGAAGCACTGTGAATACTTGCACTGTATATTACAGATGCACTGTATGTGTGTGTGTATGTAGTGTGTGTGTATATGTAATGTGTGTGTGTGTATGTAATAAGTGTGTGTGTGTATATATGTGCGTGTATATGTATGTGTGTGTATATGTATGTATATATATGGGTTAACTGTATATATATATATATATATATATATATATATATATATAAATACAGTACGGTTTAACACAAAAGGGGTTCCTTAAAATCTACTCACTTTAAATCTTATTTTAACCATATATACTCTTATGGATACATTTTAAATGTATGACAAATGAGTGAAAACTGTGTGCCCAGGCCTTTTTTCTGAGGGAGTAACAAATGATAGTCACATTATGGCTTAAAACATTTATTCTGCACTTGATCATTTCGCAAAACTCCATTGGCGTGTTGTTCAATTGAGCAATCTACAGAGGGTTATTTCACAACCAGCCCAGTTTTTGGTAAATGATTTGAATCATTTTAGCAGCTTTTTATCTTTTCACACTTTCCCTCACATTACCATGTTGACTCTGTAACATGCTAATATCAGCATGCAACTTCAAAGCTATACTGATAGGCACTCCCTTCACAAAATCACTCTAGGACAAAGGACTTCTCACTGTGGTTTGAGCAGGGTGTTTGATACAGTCATCACAGATTCTGTGCGACATTATATCCCCGCTGAGACATTTTGGAAATGCTTCTGAACGGTGTACGAAATACAAACGATACCATAAAAGAATAAGACTCCTGCGTCTCTCTGCATTGCAGGACTTTTAGCTAAATACTGGAATACAATGACAGTGTTAAAATACAGATGTTGAGCAGGTATTACTGTTTGTTTCATTACATTACAGGTCATTTAGCAGACGCTTTTATCCAAAGCGACTTACATTACACTTTAAACACATGGCTTTTTCACATTTTTGCCTGGGGAGCAATTAGGGGTTAGGTGTCTTGCTCAGGGACACTTCGACATGGAACATGGGGCAGCCTGGACTCGAACCACCAACCTTGTGCTTCCCAGCAAACCTTCTCTAAACCCTGCGCCACGACGACCCCCAGTCAGTAACACCAGTATGAGGATTGTATCCTCTCAAGAAAAACCTTAAGGAACCCTATCAAAATGCCTTTCAAGGGTCATCGGACTATTGCAATCAGGGGGAGACCTGCCATCACTTGAGGCTTCAAAAAACCCTGCACTGTCTCTTCGACTCAATGTCTTGCACCTTACCTCGCTTAAGCCGACCACAAGAGTTGCTTGGTTTAACTTAGTGACAGGAGGTGACCTAGCTCCCTAACAAGGTCTTAAAAGTGCTCACAAATACTATGTCCATAAAAGCAGGTTGAAGACACCAAAATTTGTTCAGGGTTCATATTTCTTGGCATATTACATATGGCAGCTGCACTCGTTAGCCTAGAGCAGGTGTGCCCACACCTTTTCGGCTTGCAAGCTACTTTTCAATCGACCGAGTCATGGCGATGACTTTCACTGATTGAAGTTTGTTTTTAAACGAAATGAAATGTGTTTATTAGTAAGCAAGCAAGGATTGTTTTCCGTCCCATCGTTTTTCC